CCTAATGCTAAAAAACAGTCATAACAATGATAATTTGAAATTTGAATTATTGTAGATAATGTCAAACTGAGAGATGGTGGTGAGGAGACCAAACAAAACTGACTGTTTCAATTTGGGGGTAGGCGATAGATACTAATTAATTGTAGGTATTGGTCAAACTAAGTTTGTATATTAAAGTTTTAAAAGCAATTACTATACTACCTTTAAAATTATTATGAGTATTATATTCATATTATGTATATATTTGAAAACATAATATTATGTGTATTTTTGAAAAAGGAACAAAGAAAGGTTAATTAACCTAAGAAGAGGTAGAAAATCTGAATAAGCCAATAGGCATAGACTAAAATGAGTAAGATAAAGATCTATTCCTGAAAGAAAACTCTACTTACAATAAGTTTTATGAATCAAACACCTGATGCTTTTAAGGAGGGAAAAATTGGCATGTTATATAAACTGTCCTAGAATACAGAAAATGGTAGAAAGCTAATGAATTTATTATAAGAGGCTATCTCATTCCTGATATTGAAACTGAACAAGCATACACAGAAAGAGAACTAATTCAAGTTCACTTACGAAGGCAGGAGTAGAATTCCTAAATTAAACATGGGCATATTCTGTCCAAAAGTGTATTAAATGAACAAAATGCCATAATTAAGAAAATTAACCATAGGACTCTACAGGTGATTAAAATAACTCAAACAATGTAATTATTAATGCCATTTTCTGCATTAAGAGAGTAAAGAAAAAAAACATGCACATCTCAATATAAGTTGAATAAACAGTTCAACTAAAGTCGGGCTTGTTCCATTTACACATATTTGGAAAACAGATAAATGATTGCCAGTGATTGGGGCGTGGGAGGGGCTAACTACAGAGTGTCCAGGGACAATCTGGGTGCTGATGGAATGCTTCCATACCTTGACTGTGGAAGTCTCAAGAGCATATGTGTTTGTTAAAACACGCAGGATACTAAAAAGGATGAATTTTACTGTTTGCAATTATACCTTAATTTTTAAAAATGAAACGGAAATTCAGTCCTTTAAAATGCTCAGAAAGCTAGGAAGAGAAGGAAGCTACCTCAGCTGGACAGAGGGTAACACCTGGAATCACTCTCCTTCATGTCATGGATGAGGCAAAGATGCAAAGATTCTAGCTGACCCAGTAAGAGGAATAAAATGGAACGAACTGGTTATTTGCAGAATTCTTTATGACTTCTCAATTCACCTAGAGCAGAGTGGCAGAGTAAAGCCCCAAGTCCTTTCAGTGGCCCTACCGTCCCTGTATGTGGCTCTGCATTTATTTCTCTGTGTCATTTCTGTTCCTTGCTCAGTTTGCTGTGCCCTGGCCCCACTGGCCTTGCTGTTCCTCCCATATCCCGGCATGCTTCTGCCTCAGGGAGCTTTCCCTTTCTCTTCCATCTACTTGGAACCCTCATCTTCCAGGTGTCTGCATGACTTGCTTCCTCCCTTCCTTCGGGGAGGTGCTCAAATGCCAACGCCCCAGGAAGGTCCTTCTTAAGCTCTCTATTGAAAATTCATCCACTCCCATTCACCATCAGCCTTCATCATCATCTTTTCTTGATTTAGTTTTCTTCAGTATACATCATCATCTAACATGTTATATATTTTACTGCTATTCATGCCATTTTCCCCTATTTGAAAAATATAAGTTCACCAAAAAACCTACTAGAACCAAAAGGAATTCAGTAAGTAGATATATGAAACCCAGTAACTTTCCTTCACACCATCGAGGATTAATTAAAAAACATAAAAACTAAAAAAAGCTCACTTACAGAGAAAAGTAAGCAAATATCTTTAAATATCTGAGAATGAGCCAAGAACCAATATGAAAGACCTACATGAAAAAAACCCCCAAAAATGTTTACTAAAAGACATGAAAGAAGACAAGAAAAAAAATGAGGAGATATTCCAAATTCCTGAACAGGAAGATGACATTGCCATATGGATATACTTTCTTATAGCTGGAAACCAAAAAAATTCCAAACAAATTCCAAGAGAATTTTTATAAGGAGCAACAGGTCATCAAGATGATTCTTAAAGTGATTTGGAAGAGGTAAATGTAAAATAGGGAGCTTGGCCTGATCACATGTATAAATAGGCCCCAAATTATCAAAAATTTAAACCAGGAGTCATCCAACCATGGCTCATAGGCCAAATGTAGCCCACCCTTTGTTTTAAACAATTTAATGGCTTTTAGCATACTCAGTTTATCACCATAACGAATATTAGAACATTTTCATCACTTCAAGAAGAAACCCTTTACCCTTTAGCTATCACTCAACCCCACCTCTCCACCCCTGAGCTGTAAGCAACCACTAATCTGTTCTCTGTCTCTCCATATTTGCCTATTCTGGACATTTCAAATAAATGAAATCATATAATATGTGGTTATTTGTGACTGGTTTATTTCACTTTCACTTAGCATCACGTTTTCAAGGTTCATCCATGCTGTATCAGGTATCAGCACTTCATTCCTTTTTATGCCTGAAAAGTATTTCATTGTAAGGATGTATCACTTTTGCTTACCCATTCATCAGTTGATGGACATTTGTGTTGTTTCCACTCACTGGCTATTATAATTAATGCTGCTGTGAACATGGGTGTATAGTTTTGTGTAGACATGTGTTCTCATCTCTTAGATATGTGCCTAGGAGTGGAATTGCTGGGTTGTATGTTAATACAATGTTTGAGGAACTGCCTAAATGTTTTTCACAGAGGCTGTACCATTTTAGGATCCCACCAGCACTTGCTTCAGGGTTCCAATTTTTCCACCCCCTTGCTAACACTGGTTATTGTCTGTCTTTGATTTTAGCCATTTAAGTAGGTGTGAAGCACTATCTCGTTGTGGGTTTGTTCTGCATTTCACTAATGATTAATGATAGTGATAGTATCTTTTCATATACTTATTAGCCACTTGTAGATCTTCTTTGAAGAAATGTCTATTTAAATCCTTTGTCCATTCTTAAAATGAGTATTCCTTTTATTGTTGAATTATGAGTTCTTTAAACATCATGCTACCATCTGTTTATATAAATAAAATTTTATTTGAACTTAGTCATATTCCTTCATTTACGTATTGTCTGCAAAGCCTAAACTATTTACTATCTGATCCCTTACAGAAAAAGTTTGTCTACCTGTTATTTAAACAATGAGTTACTGGGAAAGAAGCAGATAAATATACTGAAAAAACAGCACAGACAGTCTGGAAACAAATCCATGTATTAATGAGAAATTCACTTGTCGATCAAGGTAGTATTTCAAAACAGTGGGGGGAAATATAGGCTAATTTGTTAATTGTGTATTAATAATTTACTAACCATTGAGAAGAATAGAACTAGAATCTCATATCATCCACAAAATTTTTTTTAAAAACCTAAACCCAAAAACTATAAAAGACTTAGAATAAAATAGAGAACAGTGTTAGAATGTTAGGGTAGGGAAGGTGTTCTTTCCTATGACATAAAAATCAAGCACTTTGCTAGTATAAAAGGTATATAAATCAAGTTACAAGAAAATAGCTGTATCATATATATTAGACATATGAATAAGATATGAGGAATTCCTACAAATCATTTTTATAAAAAGTGGCAATGGATAGGACTAGGCAAGCTGCAAAGGAAAAATGGTCAATGCTCAGTCTCAGAAGAAATTGAAGAAATGCAAATGAAAACAATGAGATACCAGATGTTCATACAGAAACAAAGATAAAAAACCAGGTATCATTAAACACTGGCAAAGATGCATCAAAAAAGACTCTTGAAACACAGTCAAGGGTAAATATGGCTTCCAGTGTCTCCAGCACCACAGTTCCTGTTCCAGCCACCAGGACTAGAGACACTCAATGACAGGCTTACAAAGGGATCTACAAACAATGTTCGTTGGAACAGTGTTAATGATAACAATCAACCGGAAGCAATCTGAATGCCCATCAGTTGGAGCCTGATTTAATACATTACAGCAAATTCACACCATGAAATATTTTGCTGCTGTTAAAAAGAATGAAGAAAATACATATTCACTTGGAAGTCTCTCCAAATATACTTCATTAAGGGAAATAAAAATGAACGCTTAGAATGGAAGTTATTCATTGTGATAATTATAATAACTATTTCAATAATTCACTGTAGAAAGTCATGATATTAATATTTTGCAATGATATTTATGAATTGTGGGTATCTGGAAGAAAATCAAATCTTAGAAAAATTGCTTTAAGAACTATAACTTATGAGTTTTAAAAACTGCGTATGCACATATATGTATATAAGGCACAGAGAAATGGCTGAAATGGTACACACCAAACTCTTGATAGTGATCTCTGGGCAGGGAAATAAAATCTGGATAAGGGTGCTGGGGATTTTCATATTTTGCTCCTTTATTTGCATAATTTCGTCTTTATAATGAGTATGTAGTCATGGTAGTTGTATGGTTAAAAAAATCAAATAAAACCTATCAGACTCATTTATAATTTAAATATATTTTGTGGCTGATAGTTTTTTATGTGCCTGTCCTTAGAACATATGGAAATCTCTTCTTTTAAAATCTTAGAAATATTTTAAGCTTTATAAAAGATATCCAAGAGGAATTAAACCTTCCATGTCCTTAATTCTAGGACATTGATTTTAAGACATATCGTTAATTTAATAAAAGCTTTTCAGGACAAAACGAGACATACAATCACAGTGAACATATAAAATGATCTTGTAAATTGCATTTCAGCCTCTCAAATGTTTTTAGATAAAATGACAATTATAATATGCAACACATTTTGCAGAAAGTGTGGAAGTGTAGGAAAGTAAGACTGAAAGCCCGATTTCTCCTTTGATGAATAAATATATGCTTGCAAATTATTGAAAATCAGATCCATATGTCTCTGGCAGTAATATTGACAGAAGGAAAGACAATCAGGGAAAACTCACTGTCCAGGAAAAATCTGTGTGTGAGTAAAGCTTATTGCTCATGAGTGATGCAAGATCTCACCTTATTTGGAAATGAAAATTTGCTTGGTTCCACTTTGCCGGGAGCTTGAATAGCAGAAAGTGGTGGAAGCCAGGTCATCTCCTAAAGGGGGGAGAAACCAAACAACATTGTAATACAGAGTATTTAAAGACAGTAGCATTAAAGCAGCTATACCAGCCCACCTTGATAAGGCATAGAAGGGGTAAGGAGTGAACCAGGCATGAATAAGGAATGAAAGGGATTTTTTTTAAAGGATGTGAAACCCATTTTTATTATTGTTTTTCCCAATTTTACCAGTTCTTGGTTTCGTGGCTATCCCCATGGCCCCTTTATACCTTAAAAGATCTACAGTTAATCTTTAATGAAGCTTCTGAGTACAGGGACACCCCCGTACTAAAAGTTCCATGGAAGATGCCTTAAAAAGGAGGGGTGCTCTCCTGGGATCCCACAAAATTCACAGGGTGTTTCTGAAGGGTTGTATAAAGCACTTTTAGGGGATCGTAATTAGAGGAGTTGTTTATTTTACCAGGAAATCCTATTAGTATGAATTTCCAATAAGCCCCACACATCACTTTGGTCTTCATAGAAATGTTATTCATGGAGAAGTGAAAAAACAAATCACACGTATGAAATCACATGTATGGAGAGAATGTTGTGGTTTTTATAACAGTATTAAGACGACAACTTTAGTTTTAACACGTAATAATCTGTCCTATGCTTTTTGACATACATTTTCACTACTGTGAGAGAGAAACGCAGGGCTTGTTTTTGTCATTTCCAGTATCTTCTTCAGTTCCATCTCCTGGAAGATATGTGCATTCACTGAATGATAGTGGAATTAAATTGAATCAATTTCTGATTACCAGGAAACTGGCTTAGAGTTTCTGAGGCTCTGGAATAGGTTCTGAGCCCTATTCCTTGATTTCCTTCCATTTCTAAACCTGAGCAAGCATAGAAGCAGGAGTTGATCCATTTTAAGAAAAGTGAGAAATTCTCTCTAGGTGAAGACAATTTCTCACCTCCTTTGGTTGGGGGTGGTGGTGTTGAAAGGGATTCTGCCAGGCTGTTGAAGTGAAAGGCTTTCTTGAGGATGGTCTTGTGCTTTCTTTCCTTAGGTAACCCTCCGCCCCCAGCACCCTGGATGGTGCAGACCCACCCAGGAAGCAGAGGGAGAGTGGGCTTGTTTAAACCCTCCTTGGAAGGATTTACTGACCCTCCATCATCATCATCATCATCTCTTGCCCACCATGACATATGTGCCATAGGTAGGCTAAGCTCAATGCATCTGAGGTGTCCCCTCTTCATTCTGCTGGTACCAAGATTTCCCCAATGGAAAGCAAAGGAAGACCCAGTGCCCCTTTACACCCCTCTCTCCTTGCTCCTCAAGTACCTGCTCCTCTATCCTGTCTCCATCCCTCTTGTCTCTTTTGAGGAGGTTGTGTCCCAGAATAGAGTGGGTGCTCAGTCCATTTTTGAATGAATGCCAGATGGCATAGTATCGCTGCAATGTCTCCACCTTTCTTTCTGGTCGCCTGAACCAGGATCTTAATCACACCTTCAGTATTTTTAACCTGAATTACTTTAATAGCTTCCTGATTGGTTCTCTTTCTCCTGTTACTATTAATCCATCTTCCACACTCCTGCAGACTTAATTTTCCTAAAGGGCAGAACCCAACGAAAAGCTCCACTGCTTTAAAATCTTCATACACCATCACATACATAACGACGACGATGATGCTGATGGCAATGATACCTCCCATTGTGCTTGACAGTTTCAGAATCCTTCCACACAAGTTTCCTCATTTACACCCTGCCTTTAAAGTCATTATTATTATTATCTCCATATTGCAGGGGAGGGAGTCAAAGCTCAAAAAGATGAATTGATTTGCCCAAGTTCACTCAGTTCATAAATGCTACCGCTGACATGTGCACACGTGTATCTCCTTCCTCCCAGCCCAGTGTTTGTTTTCACTTTATTGCATTTGCCCCAAAGACAAACAGTACTCAAGACCTTTTACAACAAGGTCCCAGGTGTCAGCCTTGTACCTTTTTATTAATCTACACACATACCACGTATAAGAAAAACTGCAGTCCCTGCTTTTACTCACGCTGTACCCTCCGTGTGCGCATGCCTTGCCCTCATCTGCATTTTGGATTCCTACCCATCCATTAGGGCTCACCGCAAATATCACCTATGTTTTGGGGCCTTTGCAGATTCTCCTTCTACTTCAATATGATATGAGAGTTCTCTTTTCATGCTCCTCCGAAGCACTTATCTTTTCTCGCTCTCATTGTAACTCTTAGATTGTAGAAAACAACTTGTGTTTAGTTTTGTAAGTACTTACCTCAAAGTACACTCAACCATTTCTCCCCCAATATATGGGTATCCCCCAATATAGAATAAAAATTCTACTAAGGAATCCTAATAATCTCTTTCAAGAATATTCAGTTTTACTAAACATAATCCCTAAGTAGGAATCCTAGTAATTTCTTTCAAGAATACTCAGATTGATTAAACATAATCCTAAAAAGAAGAACTGAAAATTTCTCCAGAGGGATAGTTTCTACTCACTTGTATAGACGAAGCAGCTTACAGACTAAAGTGCTCAAAATTTACTTGTTGAATTGAACTAAATGCCCATATTTTAATGCAAAATTGCTTACTAACATTACTTTAGTTTTAACCAAGCATTTCCATGTTATTTGTCCAGCGAATGAGTCCTGCTATAGATATGAAGGAGTAATAAAGACAATAGGGCTGCTTAAAACCTTGAAATCAATTAGAATTTCCAAAAAACATAGGAATTACTTATATGAATTGAATACATTGGTTTTTAATAAATAAATGTACAATCCCTTTTTAAGATTATCCATTATACAGTATTAAAATTCTCCATTAGGGTTGCATGGGAAAATTAAGGGCAAATAGACTATTTTGACTTCCTCTTCTGTCACTTACTAGCTCAGTGAGTTTAGGTAAGTCACATCTTAGTATCTCGTAGTGACTTTAAAACAAAAACTTTAGAATCAATCAGATCTCAGCTTGTGGTGTCTGCGAACCAAAGAAAATAGGTGTGTATTATCTCATGACTTAATCATGAGCATTAAATGAGCTAATACACACAGATTATAGCATGGCCCCTGTGTTGAATCATTCAATAAAGGACAGCGCTGATTAGCGTCAATCTGACTTTCAGAATTCTTCTCTCTAAAACAAGACATGGAACTTCTCTTTGAGCTTAAGATGTTGGGAGTCTGGGGATAAAAGAATACATGGGAAAGTGTTTTTATAGAAGAATGAAGCACTGTGCAACTGTAGTCTGTAATTAAGCTAGCAATTATTAATATAAACGATATATTACTAAAACTGAAAGTCATTTAAAGAGATTATTACACTTCCTGAGTATGACTGGTATTCTACACTGGAGAAAATGTCGCTCAGTTTTCCTGTGGGAACAGATCGCTGATGCAATAACAGCAGTCAGTGAGATAAGATTTGATAAAAAGGTATTTAATTTATACCATATTTCTGATAGTGATTTAATATGTAAGCAAAGGTAAAATTTTTCATACCGGCTAAAATTGCTTACCTCACTTCACAGGGAAAGAATGCTATTTTGTGGCAAGGCCACAAGTCCCCTGCCTCTTTGTGTGCTGTTCCCACAGCCCATGTCCTGACCTGTCTTGACCATTCCATCATCACTGCTTTGCTTCTATATCCCCCACCTGCCTGTCCCTTAATCACCTCCTAGACCACAGGTAAGACAGGAAGATAAATGCATTTAAAGCCAATTACTCCAAAGTCTAGGTAGCAAGCTATCTTCTGATCTTAAAAACTCCTCTGCCACTTCTTTGATCTGTTCCTTTTGATTTTGTCACCTAGAAATGAGGTCACACCCCCTTCCCCAGCACTGAGAGATCCTCAATTTTGAGCTTTGCTTCCTTAGCCAACTGATGGGATTAAGAATCAACATATCTGCCTTAACACAGCCTCGCCCTTCCCATCTCCCTAAGCAGATGTCTTGTTACCCAAGGGACATATTTCAGCGTGTCTTCTTATTTCTTAGGCAGGCGTAAAATGCCAAGTCTCTTTATAGCAAATGCACTCACTTTTCTCCTAAAGGAAAGAACAGATGGTGAAATGATAAGGGTATATAGAATACCGCATTTCATTAACTGTTCAACTTTTCTTCCATCCCCCAGATAGCAATGTTCAGAGGTCGATGGGGCACATGTGCAGTATCCATTTTCAGGTCGGCTGTACAGCGAGGCTGACCATGAGACCCAAGAAGCCACAGCTTCAGGCTCATTTTGCACAACCCTCCTCTCCCTCCATGTAGCTGCCCACTTACTCTGATGTCACCTACATCAGCCTATCTTAGAAGAAATGTGTGGAGGCCTAGGGAATGTAGCTCTTTGTAATTCGAGGAGAAACAAAAATTGAATTTTAGCCTGAAATCGAATCTTGGATTCAAAATGTAGAGTTATGAGAATCTGCAAAGTATATTTAGAAAAATTTTAAACAGTATTTTAATTTTCCAATTAAAACTAATGACCAGAAAAGCCCTTTCCCTGGTTCCCTTCCCTGTCTACTGTTTCCCCACGCAATGTTTTGGTTACGGCCATGGAAGTGTTTTATCTAACATCGTCAGGATGCCGCACTCGCTGAAAAGCTTCTAGTGACCCTGCTCCAAACATTCAAGACGTTCTGTCATATGGTGCCATCAAGGAATGCCACAGTGTCACTCCCTGTTTCTTTTCTATGCAGTCTTCCCCCAAGCCAGATGGGTTAACACCCCTATTTCCTCTTGCCCTGCCCTGGGTTTTCCTGTCTTGACTTTTTTGGCTTCCCATTCATGTTATTACAACTTCTCCATTCTTTCTCATCCTGGCCTCTTTATGAAGGTTGCTGATCAGTGTAACCCTTGGCCTGGGCTACATACTCCACTCTCCATCACACACCATTTGTGTCACTTGTTTAATATTTACATGCTGCCGGGGCTTGTGCATTTTCCTTTTATGTTCTGCCACTATTAGGTGCTAACTTTTTTTTTTTTTAAGGAAGGCGCAGCTCACAGTGGCCCATGCGGGGTTTGAACCGG